CTCTCCTAGAAAGTGCAGAAGAAAAGCCCTGATTTTTAGCCCTGTGCATACCCTCTGTGGATTTCTAAACTCTAACTATATAATAATATTTTTTTCAGAAGTTGCTAAGCATATAGTAATAAATATTCATTTTAAAATTAGTTTGTTATTTATCTTAGGGTTTTTAATTATAGTTTAATAAATTATACCAGAAAACAGCCTAAGATTAGGTACTGTTAACTTTAGTTCACAGGCTCAAATGCCATCTGGGATCTGAACTTCACCAATGTCATACTCTGGGTAGTCACACACTGAGTAAAATGCAGGCCAGGACATGTGATCAAGAAATACGTGACCTAGAAATGCGGCCAATACACTCAAGTCCCCTTGCATGAATTTGCTCTATCTTAAGTTTTCCAGGGCAATGAGAAGTGTGTAACAAAATAAGAATTGTGGCTGGATAGTTCATTTTGGTTTAAAAAACTATAGCAATCTTTTTCATGTTTAAATAACATCTACTAAATCCTGTAAGCAATTATATTTCCTACTATTTTCCACTAAATCCTAAAAGGTAGGCATTATGTTTGCTATCCTTGATAAATTCTTTATAAAAGAGGCCAAAATAAATGCTAGAAAATGAGATGGACTTTCACAAAAAAAAAAAAAAAAAAAAATAAGGAAAAACATCACAGCTTCAACAGACATAGCAGATTCCCCATCAATAGAGATTTTGTCTAATTTTTTGTCAAAGAATATAATGACTATGAAAAACATTACATATGGAAAATAAAATACTAAACCAAATTGCTTGCTTTTATTTTAATTTTGTTTCTATTTGCTTTTAAATACCATGCATTAACTTTGGTCATCATATATGTTCTTCTATTCCCTTTTTCTTTCTTTCTTTCTTTACTTTTCTTTTTTTTAAACACTGTTTGGGTAGTTATTTATTCCGATAAATACTGAAAATGGCAGAGTATGTGGTTTATATTCCAGAAAGCAGAAAGATAATTTTACATCATTTAGAGCACATTTTACACATGACAAAGTAGAAGCGTTGCTAAGAACACAAAGATGAAGATTCTGCTGCTAAAGTGCTCACAGTAATAGTGAAACAAGCAGGGCCTAAGTCTCAACCGCTAGGAACGGAGACCAAAATAGCTTTAACATATGTTAACTGCTCCTGCTTGGAGGAGAGCACCCTGAGGAAAACAGTGTAAAACTCAAGAAAGCCAGGTCTAAAAGAAAGTTTTTGATCAAGCTAGTATTATGATACCAGAAGAACAGGCTTAAAGGAAAGACTAGAAGCAGGAGAGCCTACTGGAATTAGGCTGTCAGAAGGAGAGAACCTGAACTATGAATTTGAGAATGAAAAACAGAAGATGCAGAAAAATCTCGAATCTCAGCACATAATTTTATACCACCTGTGGCTTCTATAAAAAGTATCTAATAATACAAGATAAACCAGGCAGAGAGAAGCACACAACCCACGTTTAAATACCAGATCCATTGGTTCAAGGAAATAGGTTTGCACTACTTAAGATCCTCAGCCATTTGGAAGGAAAAAAGCTAAAGCAATGAAATGAGTCCTGCAATGCCATAATTTCTCAACTAGGGAAGTCACACAGGACAAGTTCAAAGAGAGTGAAAAGATTAATGTTGTAGCATCCCAAATAGCTGGTTTATAGTAGCAATGGAAAAATATGCAGGAAACAGAAGAGCTGCAACTTCTCATTTATTTTTTCCCAACCCTGCGATATTAAACTAAGCTAGAGAAGAAGATGAAGGTATGGATTTTTGTTTGCTGGTCTCGTTGTGGAGATATATGGAGTCAAGAAAAGGACAAAGGTATAATGAAGTACAAACATTTGAAGTGATATTGTGATTTAGGAATAAGCTAATTCATGGAAACTGTAATTTTATAAAATCAGTAGTACACCATAGTCTTACTGAAAAGCATTTGAAGACTAATGACACTGACCTTAAAAAGATGGTAAGTTACATCCTCAAAGATACAACAATACAAATATTTTCCTTTGTTAACAAGTACCCATATATAATGGAAAGAAACTTTTCTTTTTATTTCTTTCATTAATTTTTCTCTATTTAGGATTATATTATAACACTATGAAACCTGAAAATTAGACCTGAAAGCCTTAAATCACCCAAACCATGACCTAATTTCGTTTAGGTCAATGATTAGATGAGGTCCTCTCTTTTTCAAGCCCTAATTTACTGTGCTAAATTAGGATAGTGAAATGCCTCTGATATAAATTATATATATTAGACATCCCAGCACCAAATCTTTACTAATAATGTGCAAATCTTATTCTTTAATCTTTCAGTCCAAATATCTAAAGACTATATATTCTCTAGCAAAAAATACAACATAATGAACTATTAATATACCATGTTGGTACTCTAAAGATATTGTACTTTAAATAAAATTTGAAAAATCATTTAATGAGAAAAAACAAAATAATTGATGAGGAAAAACAACTGATGTAAATGTAAGTGACATTGTTATAGATTATCCAGAATCCATTTTACATTTCTAGTTGATTCAATTGCTATGTTTTAAATGGAATGATTCCATTGAGCTGCTTACACATAGCCTTTAAACATCCAAAAATGAACCAAAGGTCGCAATTCACTGCTAAAGTCAAATTAGGGGGGAAAAATGTTTTCAAGCCTTTCAAGAATTAAGATTTATGAAATAAGTAAGCCAGCATTCTGTTTATAGGGTGTTGGAAGTCTGGGCAAAGGGTAGAGTGGAGTGGGGTAAGACAGATGAGAGTGTTACACCAACAACAGTTAGGGAAGTAACTGGATTCCTGTAGAAAGAAGAGATGCAGGGAAATGCAAAAGCCCAAGCTAGATTAGACAACTGAAGGAAATCAGTTGCCTAATTAAAAAAAAAAAAAAAAAAAAAAAATCTTTTTGGAATCTTTCTAATGTCACTGGTAAGAAGAAATAAAAATTCCATAATTTCTTCTGAAAATCAGGACTCTCCTTCAACTTCCTCATAAATCACCATAGATGACTGTAGCAATTCAGCTTTAGGGTCTACACTGTATTAAACTATATATGTTAATCTAGAACAGTAGTTCTCAATGAAGGTTACATTTTTCCCCAGGAGACATATGACAACATTTTTAAGGGTCACAGTTTGGTATGGGGGGCAGCTGTTGGCATCTAATGGATGGTGGCTAAAGATGCTGTAAACATCCTTACAGTGCACAAGATAACTTGACTGCAAAGAATTATCAAGTTCAAAATGCCAACAGTACTAGGTTAAGAAACACTGATCTCTCCTGAATACTATTCAAGCAACAACCTACTTCTTGGACCTTTATCCTAGCCCATGTCTAACAGTTAATTAAAGGACTAAACCACCACCACCCAAAGACCCATTTTTCAATTGGTTTAAACATGGTGGATGGTTGGTTCCAACTAAAAGTCACACAGAAATAAATAGAGATAATGTATCAGAGCAGAAAACCAGAAAAAGAACTTTTAAATCCTTTCATTTCATTTCTGTCTAGAACGATTCACTTTACAAGAGGAGCATTTACATGGTTCCATTATCAAGCTGTGTGTCTTCTATAGCCAATACTCTGAAAATTCACTGGCGTCGTCAAAATACAATATATCTTATTAATTAAAAACTTAGGTTAACAGTATTTACAAAGAAAGATTTATGCTGGAGGCTGCGGAGGGTGAAAAAGCCACCAGGTCTTTAAAATGCAAAGTTATTTCACAGTTTGCTTGCAAAATGACTCAGATCATTATTACTTTTAGTCATGCCAAGTTTGCTTCTAAGCCTACTAGTAATGGAGAAAGAAAAAAAAAAAAGCCCACCATTTTTTCCTGCAGTCATTAAACCAATAAAACTGGAGCTTACTGAAAATGAATTTAAGCAATATTTCTCTTTTATTATAACTTATATAAAAAAATACAAGCTGAAAGTGCAAATGAAGATTTTAAGAAATCTTTCATCTATCTAATACTTAGAGTGTGGGAAGAAATCAAACAAAAGGAACCCCTAACTCAGAGATTTAAAGATCTTAAACTGTGAATATTATCACAATGTTTCCCTCAGTCAAGTGTCCCTGGGTTACTCTAATTCTCTTCCCGTTCAAACAATTGGAAAAAGATCTCCACGTCGCACTTCAGCAAGAGAACAGGGCTAAGAACAAATCAAAGCCTGGCGTGCACCTGGCAAACCCCATTCATCAGAAACCATGGCAGTAGAGAAAATCCTGTTGTTCCGGTGACCCCTCTGCACCTTTCACAGCGGTTCCACCACTGAAGTATCTTCCTTACCTACTACTGGAGCAAACGCAACCCAACTTTGGTGGTTTCCCTACCCCCACCGTGATAAAAATCAAATATCCAGCATAGCTTATTTCCTTACGCAGGGTAAACATAATCGGTGCTTTTTAACACTCACTGAGTCGCCATAGGAACTTGACAGTAAAGACACATTTCAACCCTACAGAGGCCCCAGGAAAGGTGCACTGACTTCACCAAAATCGGCACTCCTGGTGTGAGAAAAACCACAAACGAGAAACCACCCTCTGGATGAAAGGTTTTCCGGGAAAGGGGCGGGGGTGTCTTTTATTTTCTTGACATGAATACCCCTTCGTATTTGTAAGGCTCAGCTAAACTTCAAAGAAAAGGGTTTACACGGGATCTGCCGCCTCAAAATGCAGCTCGGCTTCCAGTGGGGTCACTAAAGCACCGAGCGCAGCGCAATGCCTGCCCTACCGCGGGGAGATCTCAGCGCCTGGCAGGAGGGCGGAAGGGGACCTAGGAGGGGACCCGCCTCGGCTCCGCACCGCAAGGGCCACACTCGCACTCCGAACCAACCTCGCTCGGGCGCTGCCAGACGCGCCCTCGCCTGCTGTCACGCGTTCCCTCCGGTTTCCCGACGCCGAGGGGCCCACAGCGGCCCCCGCCGCGCCCAGCCCACTCGCTCATTCGCCCGCCCCGGCACCTAGCCCTTCGGCCAGCCTCACCGAGCAGCAGCAGCTTGACCTCGCGCGCCGCCTTCTCGCCATCCTCGCGGAGGTTCCGGTCGATCATCTTACTCCGCTCCACCGCCGCCTTGTCCTCGGCGCTCAGCGTACAGCCCATGGTGCCTAGAGCGAGAGCCTGCCGCCGCTCCCTCCGCGCCCGCTTGCTGCCTCGGAACACAGGTGAAAGCTCTCTTTCGAATACCTCCCAACGCCGGCCACACCACCCCCACTACGTCCTAAACGGAGTCCAGAGAAACGCTTTCCGCAAACGAGCAAACAGCCCTGGGCGACTAGTTCCCCGGCTGGGCTCCGCTTTTGGCGCCGCTCAGCGCCGGGAGACCCAGGTTTGATGGCTCTGGCTTCAGAGGCTACCGCCCTCCAGCCAGTGGCCGAGCCGCAGCCTCGCAAAGCTCAGGCGAGTTCCGCGTCCGCGCGCCGCCGCGGCCCCGCCCCTGCCCGCCTCTCCCGCCACCCCGCGACCACTCCCAGAGCGCGCTCCCGCGCACGTGCCCTCGGACAGCGCCCCCTCCGAAGGGCCGCGCGCCCGCGTGGCCGCCGACCACGGCGCCGCGCACCCCGCGAGGGCCCCGCGCCCCCGCGCGCCCCCTGGAAGTGCCAGAGAGCGAGGAATTGCCCGAGGGGCTGTGGCCTCAGGCCCTCGCGCTCCCTAACCCTGCGCCCGCGGCGGGAATGGGGTAATTTCTCCGGGTTTACTGATACCAAGGAATGTGTGCGTACCTGCCCCTCTACCGATGGGGATGGGAGAGCTGCCAAAGTTGGAAGCCCAGAAAAGCCTGTCCAGGGCGTTTGAGCAAACAAACAAGGGTTTTCAAAATGTAAAACGGTGTCGGCCGGCGTTCAGGGCGGTGGGAAAGATAGGAAGCTGCAAATGGAGCCGCGGTGAGACCAGAGGTGGGGACAGTGGGAAACAGAAGTCAGGAGATGTGGTGGTAGTGGGCACCAAGGTCAACTTCCTTCCATTTTTCTTTCTTTCCCTTTTTCCTTCCTTTGTCGTCTTCCTTTTCATAAACAGATTATAATTTTAAGGATTTCTTCATAACCTTAGAAAATGTGAGACCAAAAATCAAAGAGTATATTTAAAAATGACAAGAGCAATAAAACACACCCACACAAACAAGTCGGCTCCACAGCGGTAGCAGATCTCTAGGGCACATGTAAGCTCCCATGCCAAGTTTTGAACCAGTATTTATGACCATGACCCTAACTCCTGTGCCAATGGGCATGCCATTCTTTTTTGGAAGCTATGGCTTCCTTGCACATAAAATGAGGAGTTGTGCGATATTGTTTCCTCCTTCCAACTCCGGCAGGCAGGGATGATGCATTCATCCACCCAACACCAAATGGATGAGGATAGATTTAATGTCTCATTTCTCAATGCTTGTTGTTCTAAGTTTTTCCTTACAAACACCACAGGAAAAAAACCTTGACTGATGGAAAGATGAAACTAGTGTCAAAGAAAAATGTCTTCCTTGATGTATTAATTTTTTTTAATTGCTTTTAGGTTTCCATTCAGAAGTCTTATTTTCTAAAAATCATTTGAGAAAACCGGGCTTGAGTTTTTCTAAGAAATTGAGATTGAATTGATGACACGGGTAGAGGGCAGAATACTTTTAGGTTGGGTCATTCAGACCAGGCCTATAAGCTAGTTCTGCTCTACACCCCACTGGCCATGCTTGTGCTCCAAACTATGAGAGCGAGTTGGATTGTCAATTCCTTCTATATGGGACCTGCCCTTTCCTGTTTTCCCCGAAGTCATACCTGCGATATGATTTCAAAACCTGCCTAAATTTTCCTATGGCCTTTTGTAATATAACAACAAAAAGGAGCAATCTTCAATGGTACATAATCACCTTCTACCCTCATTATAATTCCTGGCACATTACATGTCCATCAGGAACTCTGAAATTAAATTTAATGAAATCAACTTTCAACACAGTATTTCCGTATTAGTCATTTGGGCTGATCTGTTACTATCTTTCCTATAAGCTTCAGGCCAGATGGAGTGTAGGATCAACAGTTTTAGCCAAAGAGGAATCAATTATGACTGAGTACTGGTAGAAACCACTACAGAACTTGTGTTTTGGAGAAATGAAGTTGTAATGAAATTATACACATTATCTCTATCAATTTGAAAAGCTTGTCAAGTAGTTGAGTAGCTTATATGTAGTACATAGACAATTAAGGACTGCAAATTAATCTTATGTGAAACAAAACTTCTAAGAGGATACAAAGTAATGAAATAATCAGTATGGAAGGAAATTCCAAGAGAAAAAAGTTTGAAAAAAATATTGAAGGAAGTGATAACAGGATATTAGAGGCGAGTTTGAAGGAGAATATATTAGTCAGTACCATCTGCCAAAACAAAATACCATAGACTGGATGGGAATAATGTCTCATGTTTCTGGAGGCCAGTAAGCCAAAGATTAAGGTGTCAACTGATTGAGATCTCTTGTGAAGCCCCTTTTCCTAGCTTGTAGATGACTGCCTTCTTTCTGTATCTTCACATGGTGGAAAGTAAGAAGCTGGGGAGGTATAAGAGAGAGGGAGAGAAGGGAAAGGGAGAGAAAAGCCATGTTTGCTTTCTCTTCCTTTTCTTATAGGGTCACTAATCTTGGCATAGATATTCCACCTTCAGGACCACTAAACTAAATCAGCTATCCAAGGTTCTCCCTCCAACTACTATCACATTGGGGTTTAGGACTTCAACATATGAATCTGGGGGAGATATACACATTCAGTCCAGAATAGTGAATTTTTGTTTCAGAGGAATGACAAAGTACACAAAAATAGTGATTATTTAATAATTTAAAGGTAGTTTGGCTATAATGAATGATAAGATATATATGGGACAATATTGAAAGAGCTTTACATCTTAAGGTATTAAGAGCTGGACTTGACACAGTGAATACTAAGTGTCCCACACATTCTCCTGAGTTGGGTAATAGATGGTTAAGAAAAAATAAAAACCCTCTTACCATATGTGTAAAATAAATGAGTTACCAACAAGTGCATGGTATTAGTAATCCAAACATGGGGTGATAAGAGAGTCATTCAGACTAATAACTTACATAGTTATGAGGTTGTGAAATATGATTCAACAACCTTTTCAAGGAGGTGGAGCAGACATTATTAACTCATCTATTTTATAGAGAGTGAAAGAGAGAAATTTAAATTGCAGAGGTTAAAGCATTCTACTTCAGAATAGTGTTTTTCCTTCTGAACATCATATGTTCCTTTAACCTCTTTATTGAGACATAAATCACATACCATAGAACTTACCCATTGAAAGCATACAGTTCAATGGCTTTAGTATATTCACAGTTGTGGAGCCACTACCAAATTGTAGAACATTTTCATCACCCCTAAAGGAATCCCTGCATCCATCCCCATCATTCCCCATCCTTCCATTCTGCTAGTCCTAGACACTACCAATTTAAATTCTGCCTCTGTATTTGCATATTCTAGACATTTTATATAAAAGGGATAATATAGATATCGTCTTTTGTAATTGACTTTTTTCACTCAACATAAAATGTTTAAGGTTTATTCATGTTGTAGCAGGTCTCATTACTTCATTTCTTTTTATTGCTGAATAATACTGAGCATCATATGTTAAGAGAGTTAGACATATGTTAAGAGACAAATTGGAACACGTTCAGCTGAAAGCATCAGGCTTTAAGTAACTCAAACTGTGTCATAAGAATAATTGGAGAAACTGGGGATATTTATTGAAGGAACAAGAAGATACAAGTGACTTGACAGTTATTTCCAAATGACTGAAGAGATGTCACAAATCAGAGGAAAGATACACTTTCTGTCCTGCTTCAAGGTCATACATAGACTTAGAAGTACTAAAGGAAAGCTATGACAAGCAAAATTTTATCTTGATGTGAGGAAAAATGTTACACAATTTCTAGGCAGTGATACCAACCAATAGACTAGTGTATGTGCACATGTGAAATAGGCAATCTCAAAAACATTTGACTAAGATGTAAAACTCTTATATTGGGCACAATCTAGAGCTGGGTGAACTCTTAGGATGACTCCCAACTATGAGATTCTATATTATTCAGACATCAAATGGGACTGGTATCAGAGGCTGAGATTGTACTACTTGTAAACTCCTCTGGCCTCAAGTGTTTTCCCTACTCATACTATCCTCAGATAAACACGCAAAAGTGGGAAAGGATAGTTTGAGATATCTTGGTTTGATCTTTTGATGGATTAGCATGAGAATAAAGAGGAACATTGGAAAGAGGATATGACCTGGTAGGTGGAGGGGAGGCAAGATCAGAAGGGCATTGCATATCTTTGGCTAGTTAAGCTGCTAACCAATGTGGCATGTTCACATCTCTTCATTACTGCATTGATGTTTTTGCTTTCTAAAGGAGAAAAATGTTTTGGCACAAGCTAGGCATATTTAGAAAGATAGAGGGAGCAACATGGCATCTATAACCTTCTGTAGAATGATATAAGGCCTCAAACTCAAAGCATTTTCATTAGAGATATTGTGAGATTCTAGGCAAAGCTTGAAAAGCCAAAACCCATGGAGGGACTTTGCAAAACAAACAGCATTCTTTGAGTACTCAGGTTATATATCACATTGGCATAGAAATCCTGTGTAGCCATTGACCCCTGCGTGTAATATATAACCACTCAGGCATCCAAGCATTGATGAACTGAAGGAAAACATCTAAAGACAACACTTTGAGTATGGACATTTGCATTCTGCTGATGGGTCCTACACCATCAGCAATACTCAAGTCTCCCTCAAGTAGCTTCATAGACAGTGGCTACCACAAAAAAGAACTGTAAAAGAGGGGGAAATGGAAAATACTAGGCAGTGACACCAACCAATAGACTAGTTCATGAGCACTTGTAAACATGATACCACATTGGAGGACTCAGAAATATCTAGGGAATAGGCTGGAGAGATTTAATTTTCTACTGAAGCAGATAAGTCTTGAAGTCACTGTTGATGGGGCAGAGAGGGCAACTTGGCCTCATAAGTAAAGGTGGGAGAAGTTTAAAAAAAAAGAAAGAAATATGTGGTTTTCAATGCATCAAGAGAAGATCACTATGAACAAACATAAAGAAAAGGAAATGGTGGTTGTGGTATAGGGAAGAAACTCTAGCCCAGAAATCGGGCACGCTTATAGCAATTCAGAATTCTGTCTTTAACTCCATATCTGTCTTTTGAAGTCCTTTATCCTCTAATTGCTATATTCCTGTCTATAAACATGAACTTATTGAATTAGATCATCAAAACAAAGTTCCAATAATTCTGAATTTGTATGAGGTTGTCATATCAACCAGACAAGATGGTTGGCAAATATACTGAAGCCTTCCCATATAGGATTCAGTAGTAAGCAAATAATGAGAATTCAGAAGGTTGATAAGGGT